ATTCTGCCATTTGGTTCTCGCATTTTTCGCATTGGGGTCGCACATTTTTGTTTCTTTATATGATGCTTGCATGATGTCAATATGTGATATAATATCAGGTGGAGGACATGATGCAAATGCGATTAATGCACAAATGTGTGTTACAGGTATTAAGTTATACTGTACTTGGGAACACACAGGTAACATGACTCAAAAATGAGTTGATCTGAAGAAATTTGAGCCAGATTTATGTGTTTATTTGCATTTAATGTTGGATATTTCATTACATAACAATATATGCATGTTTTTAATTTGCTTTTGACTGGATACTCGGGTATCTACATAGGTTGTGAGAGTACAGTGTTAAGTGCTTTGCTTCAAAGACACATGATCAGAGTTCACACAATCCATATGATATCCCAACCATCAAATGTCACCTGCCGGCATGACACATCCACATGTATAAGTCAATATTTGTTTCAAAACAGGAATAATCTTTGATGTGTAAGAGAGAGCAACTGGCACATGTTGGAGACAAAAACACCTGTGCATCTCAAAGACAGTTGTTATTTTGGTGCAAATACACTGAACCATGACTTGTTTTGGACAACACTCTTCAGATCATAACTCAAACAACTGACCTGTCTTCATCTCATAAAATCTTTCATTAATTCTCCATGGTAAACACATAAATATTGACGGATGAATGACTGTGTCTGCTTTTGTGCATGTTCCGGTGCTTTTGTTTTTATGGACATGGTGCTGCATTAAAGGCACATTGCAGGTTTAGTATGGAATGAATGGATTTGGGATTTCAATGGAAAACAAAAGATAAATCATTTTTACACACATTGTGATAAATTTCTTTTCATAAAAACTATAAACTCAAATGTAATTTATAATTATTAGTCCCCGTTCGAACGCAGTCCGAAAACGGGGACTTGTGTTTTGCCCTGTGTCCGTCCGTCCGTCCGTCCGTCCGTCCGTCCGTCCGTGATCACCTGTATCTCGAACATGCATGGACCGATTAAGTTCAAACTTCACTCATACATCACACATTATATGGGACATATGCACATGCATTTTTTTCATGATCCGATTAACGATAGCTGAATAGCGGCCATTTTAAGGCCGAAAATGCATCAAAATCGCACATTTTCACCATTCCGGACCCGGATCTCAGTTATGCATGGATGGATTTTGTTCAAATTTGGTACATACATTAAACATAATAGGACCTTGATGCACGTCATTTTTTTTTTTGGATCGGGTTCGAAATGGCCGACTGGCGGCCATTTTGTTTTAAAGAATTCAGTTCTGGATCCGTATCTGAGACATGCTTGGATTGATCGAGTTCAAACTTCACACACACAAGGTACATCATGTCACAAATAGATATGTGCATTTGTTTCATGATCTGCTTAACAATAGCGGAATGATGGCCATTTTAAGGCCGAAAATGCATCAAAATCACGTATTTTCACAATTCCAGAACCGGATCTCAGTCATGCATGGATGGATTTTGTTCAGATTTAGCACAATGTGTTGTACATTATGCAGGTGCATTTCGGTCATGATCTGCTTTGAATGTATATGTCACTCAAATATAAACGGAACGGGGACGTGTCATTGACAATGACTTGTTTTTTTTCAGAATTTCTCTTGTTTCATAAGTTGTTCTGTATGTTAATTGCTTGAATATATAAAGAAATGCAATTGGACAATTAATTTCCTGAATTTTGCAACTGGAAATCCTGAACAATTTGATGTTTAGAAGAACATATACAAATCTCAAACAGAAAGATTTATTTGTAATGGCCAATAGTACTTTCAGGGGTGTTCAACTATTTTCATCAGAGAAGTTTTGGTCCAGTGAATATTTAATGATTGTCCTTTGCATTGGATATGTAGATAGGGATAATTTATAACTATACTTGTTTGGTTTGACAGCTCTTCCCACCTGCTCTAAAGATGAATTCACCTGTCACAATGGCAAATGCATAAGAGCTAGTTGGGTCTGTGACTCCGATAACGACTGTAATGATGCATCAGATGAGTTCGGTTGCCCACCCAGAAACTGCTCTGAAAGTGAATTTCGTTGTGCCAATAATAACTGTATCCGAAAACGTTGGCATTGTGACGGAGATGATGACTGTGGGGACGGCTCTGATGAAATTTGTGGTATGTTCTTTATTTATGAAAATTTAATATCAATTTTTGCAAATTTATTTTACGGTTTGCTTTATTTTAAATAATAATTTATTTGGTATGGTGGCAAGTAATAATTTACTTGAATTGAGATATTGATATTGAAACATATAATTCAATGCATATAATTTAAATCAATGCTCCACCTTGAATGTGTCTGAAGATGTAGATACGTACTATCCAAATCTATTGGTATATTTCATATTAAATTGCATCATGTTACGAATCATTTAGGCTGTCAATTTTCAACAGGATCTTTTATACTTGGAATACCCTTCCAATAAATTCTTCCTGTCAGTGTCACCTGTTATAAAAATCATTTATTAACATTTTATTGTAATCTTTTGGAAAATAACTTTCTAGCAAATAATTTAAGTTTATTGTTCATGTTTTACTGGTAAAGCCTTTTAGATTATTTTAAATTGCATTATTGGTAATTTGTGTGTATGTAAATTACATGTGGTGAGTTGTTTCAGCTGTGCAACCTTTTTCTGACGTTTTCGTCAAAATGTTAATAAATAGAAAAAAGAAATTATGAATGAAATTGTTATTTTTTAGTTCATCATACATGTTCAGAAACCGAATTTACCTGTACTGATGGCAACTGTATAACAGCAGTGTGGAGATGCGATGGTGATCAGGACTGTATGGACGGCTCAGATGAATTCAACTGTCGTAAGTTAATTCCTGTACACAATATACATAGACATAGACCTGCAAAGAACAGAATCTAAACTGAGGACTTACAGTTTATTCAAAAAATACATTAAACAGGAATATTATTTTAACTGATGGGCAAGCGGTTCAAACAATGAGCAAATTTAAAATTAGCTGCCACCAACTGTACATAAAAGTGGGTAGACACACAAAACCAAAAACAAAAATTCAGGACAGGAAATGTGACAAATGTAACGTGATTGAGGATGAAATTCATTTCATTACTGAGTGTGATCTCTATACAGAAAAATAGACAAGATTTATATAGTCTATTCTCCAATCCAAATTTCAAAAATTACAACAACAAAGATAAATTTATACACATTTTAAACACAACTAACAAACAATGTCTACTGAGGTTATTAAAATACATACAGAAAGCCTACAAAATAAGAAAAGAAAAGATGATAATAATTAATTATTAAGGTATTGTTGTGCTATATTTTCAGTGTGATTTAGTTGTTGTTTATTTGAAGTCTATTATTGTATTGTACGTGTAGTTTGATTGTAGTTTATTTCAAAAGTTTTTCTTACCTGAAAGAAACTTTTTATGTTACTTAAAAGAGAAAGAAGTTTATAAGCTTTTACGTATAAAATTACACAGTTGTGAAAAAAGGTCATGTAGTGGCTAAGTCGGAAATGCAGCTGTAGTTTGGATTTCTTCCTTACTCCCATAATGTAAAGTTTTCCAGAATCTTTCTGAACTTCTTTGCTGTATCTTTTTAAGTTTGTGTAACCTCATTCAGATTTCTCTATTATCAAATATAAATAAAATCAAATAACGTATCAAAACATTGCCAGTGCTCACATTGTTGCATCTATTCTGAAATCTAAACAACTATTATACATCTGTCACTGTAACGCCATAAGTTACAGCGTGACGTAATTTTGCAGTGTTTCACGGGGTATTTTGATCCTGCTATATAAAGAAATGCAAAATCCAAATATGGAATGATTATGCGCGTAAGTGTGCTCTAATAATAAAAACAAACATGGCTGCCACCAGGGTTTGACCGACTTTGACTTCACACAAAGATTTATGTTGATTCTGTTTTAAACTTTTTGGATTTCGGTATTCCCATAATGTATCCTTAGAAGGAATGGGTTATTACGAGGATACTTCAAAGTATGCACTCAGACAGAATGCTGTCAACGTCCGCTGCGCATATATTAGTTTGGTTGCTCATAATTATCACATGGTTGAGTTTATGCCGTTTTCACCGGCTCTTCGACTGGTGTTTCGCACAGAGCCCATAGAAGTACATTGTACAGTGGTGCATATCTTAGCAACATACATGTAAAACATTCTGTGATTTAGCTCCGCCCCAGAGAATAAAAAATGTAGGTCAGTCATGTGATTTTCTAATGGGATTTTCTTTTGACAGCTACTCACACATCAACCTGTGAGACAGACCAGTTTATGTGTTCATACGGTCGCTGTATACTTAAATCCTATGAGTGTGATGGCGAAGATGACTGTGGTGACCTTAGTGATGAAATTGATTGTCGTAAGTCGGTTTATGGTTTTAGTTTAGGGAACTACTTTGGAAATTAAATATCTGTGGCAACAATATTGTTTGCTTTATCAACTCTTGCACATACAGTTTGTCTCAAAGTTGTTGTCCACGATACAAAGCTTAAAGTGCTACCGTTGTCATGCAGTGTGCATACAAATTTGGTAAAATTACTGTATCGCTTTGAATTTGAATAAAGTTTTTACAAGATAATTTATAATGAGCTTGCCAGGAAAAAAATAATTTTTCACAGCTTGTTTTGCTAAAAATTACATTTTACATTGGGACATTAATTTCTTCATACAATACGCAATTGTATTCTTTTTAGTCAATATATTGTTTCATTGTTGTAATCAATCAAGGCAAATTAACATGTATTTTTGAGGGTGCTTCTTAAGTTGATTTCAAAATGGTGTTGGATAATATTTCGGATGAGCCCTTGATCATTATACTCACAAGGGTCAGTGGGAGGTTTTATTCATAGTGTGGCTATAAGCAGTTCTTGATTCTTTGCGTTGAGGCCATCATTTCTTCATATACTCAATTTGTCAGTTGAAATATAATAATTAAGCATGTGTTTTAAAGTGATGTAAATTTAAATACTGAGTGTTCTGTTTTCTTTTCACAGAATCTAGAACACGACAACCATGCAGAGATAATGAATTTAGATGTAACAGTGGTCAGTGTATAGTGACAGCATGGGTTTGTGATGGTGACTATGACTGTGATGACCATGCTGATGAAACAAACTGTCGTAAGTTAACTGTTGTAATCAAATTAATTTTTCTGCCAGCTCTCTAACTCTTTAGGAGAACCTTAAATGGTATATGTAGAAACTATGACTATCGGGACATAGTTTTTTTTAAAACTCCTTTTTGCTCTGATGAATTATTTACATTTATAGTTTCTATATACACTTCTTGTAGTACTTAAAGGTGGTTATAAGTGAATTTCACATATGCATTTATGGTATTTAAATTTAACTTTGAATTAATATTTTAAAAAAATAACTTGGTATCTCACTGACTACATGATAATGTTGGATTGCTATTTTTTCACAGCTACTCCTAGTTGTTCATCAGATCAGTTTAGATGTGACTCGGGTAGATGTATTCGTATAGCATGGAGGTGTGATGGTGAACTAGACTGTCAGGATAACAGTGACGAAGCTGACTGTGGTACGTTCACAGCACATTTACACTGCTAATGTAGTTTTTAAAAACGTTGAGTGGAAACCCCGGAAAACCACTAAACCTGTCGAAAAA